GTGCGTTTACCTCTGCCGTTCCTCTGCCAGCGCTTCCCTTTCTCTCCCTCTCTGGTGAAACATCCCTGGCCTCCCACTGCCTCCGTCTCCTTCCTCCGAGGACCTGGTGCACACGGAGCGCCCACGCCAGTGAAGGCTGGGTTTACCCACCCAGCTCCTGCAGCAGATCCTAAGCTGCGGGAGAGAAGGACCTGCCTTATCTCCCCCAAACACTTCAACTGGGGGCCAGATTTATTGTATTTATTCCCCCAACACTTTATTTTGAAAATGTCCAAGCCTCCGAGACACAGTAAGACAAACACCCATATGCCCTTCACTTAGATTCTTCACTAGTCACTTCTTCCATCCCTCACCTGGCCTTGCTGACCCAGGGCAGATATCTCAGGCCGGGGCTGGGGCTTGGGAGGTGCTTGGCACCCACTGGAAGGAAGCAAAGAAGGAACAAGGACACAGTGTTGTTCTGCTGTCAGCCCTCTGCCCCAGCAAAGAGCCCTGCACGGCAAAACACCACTCTTTCTAAAAGGCGGACACAGCGGAGTCACTCACCTGATTGGAAGCCGGCTGTCCACAGGCAATGCAGACCCCTGTTGGACACCCAAGGCCCCTCTGTCCCTTCTGGCCTCCTCATCACTGACCCTGGGAGGCAGCCTTGCCTCCACACCAGCCTGCTCCCCACACTCTGTGGCATTTGGGTCTTGGAGCCTCTGCCCTTCTCGCTCACCTGGCGTGGACACACAGCCTCGCCTTCCACATCCTCAGAGAAGCAGAGGCCTTCCTCGGCCTCTGTGGGGGGACCCCTCACACTGGTTTGCCCAGGAATTTACTGTTAGGCCCTGAAAGTCGTGCATCCTAAAAATCCCTTAGCCCCTGGCAGACCTCAATTGCTCTTACAGGGTGGGTCAGACCCAGTTGCCAGGAGTAACTGTCTGAGCTGCTCGGGGCATGCCCACTTCCCCAAGCCCCACCTAAGCCACCGAACAGGCCCAAGGCAAGGCTTGCTGATGCTGGTTGACTGCCTCAAGGAACGAATGAATGAGTGACTATGAATGAATAGATGCACGGATGAACAAGCAATAACACCTCTCCTTTGAATCTTTGCTCCAGTGTCACCTTCTCCGTGGGGCCTTCCCTGGTCACACCGTCTCACGTGGCAAGTCCTCTCCCCAGAGCCCCCTCTCCCTTCCTGCTGTACCAGCTTCCTCGGTGTCTACCATCAGGTGACATTCCCCAAATGTCTGTTCATTTTCTCCGAGGTCTGTCTCTCCCACTAGAGTGTTAGCTCTACCAGGACAGGAATTTTGTCAGTCTTGTTTGCTGTCATATCCCCAGTGCCTAGAACAGTAGGTGGTCAGCAGGTATTGGTGGAATAAATGAATGAATGACTGAATCTGCATTTTCCTGCAAAAGGTGGAGGCTCGGGGCCTTCCTCTCACACATTTGGTCTTTGGGGCAACTTGCTCCACAGACATCAGCACGCTTGGTGTCAGTGGGTGGGGAAGGGGTTGTAGGAAGGAGAGCGCCCAATCTGATGGCCTGATGGAGGAGGGGCAGAGGTCAGGTTAAGAACCTCAAAAGCCCTCACACCCAGATGTACATGAAGCTGAAGACCCAGCATTTGGGGATGGGGTCTCTGGGGCAGGACGCCCTGCATTTTGCAACAGTCCTAAAAGGCCAGGATCACAGAAAACATGGCCAATGTATGTTAAATATTCTTGATGGCTCAAGCAGAGTTCTGGGCTCTTTATGTGTGTTTTGTTTTCTCACTTGATTCTCAAATCTCTGAGAGGTGTTGTTGCCCCCAATTTGCAGATGAGGAGACTGAGGCTGGAGAAGCTGAGCACCTTTCTCAGAGGGCTGCAGCGAGTAAGTGGGGGGTCAGAATCAGACTCTGGAGCCCACTGCTGACCCCAGTGCCCTTGAGAAGGAAGGAGGCTCAGAGAGGTGGAGTTCGAGTAGGTGGCCAGTCTGGGGTGGTACCAAGGGTGACCAAGGGGAGGGGGGCAGGAGGCAGGGGAGGAGGACAGAGACCCTGGGCTAGGTGGGCTGGGATCCATGTGCCAGAGGTGCGGAGCAGCTGCCCAGGATGCAGAGGCCCCTCTCCCCACCACTCCTCCTGGGCCCCCAGCATCCATCTACCTGACCCACATGGTGATACCAAAACTTATTCCTGGTGGCACCAAAGCTTATTCTGTGTCAGGAGGTGGCTGAGTGCCTCAGGGCACTCTAAGTTACCTAATTCTTGCATGTGGACGTGCTCAGTTGTTTCAGTCGTGTCTGACTCTTGCAACCCCATGGACTGTAGCCTGCCAGGCTCGCTGTCCGTGGGATTCTCCAGGCAAGAATACTGGAATGCATCGCCATTTCCTCCTCCAGGGTATCTTTCCAACCCAGGGATTGAACCCGCGTCTCCTGTATCTTCTGTATTGCAGGCAGATTCTTTACCCCTGAGCCACCAGGGATGCCCCTATCTAATATCTTACACTCTCCTAATACAGACAGGGAAACCCAGTTCACACAGAGAAGACACCAGCAGAGTAGGGTTTCCAACCTCAACTGTCTGGCTCCAGGGTCTGTGCCCCTAACACCTGCCCATACTTGGGGCCCCAGCTTACCCCGGCTCCCACCCTGCCAGCCTGCGCATGCCAGCAGACACTGCATTCAAGGCTCTACAGTGACCCCACGGAGGACTCAGGGCACAAGGCCCGCAGCAGCACAGCCTGTGATTAAATCAAACAGCAGTGACTTCCCCATTTAGATGCCCCGCTCCAGGTCTGGGGAAAAGTAACACTGCCTCATTTGGACAGAATGCATCTCACCATTTCCTCCCCTCCCCGCTGGTGTCCTAAGTCCACAACCGTCATCTTGACGGGCCTCTGCTTCAGCAGTGTCTTCCTCAGGCCGGGGCTGTATCAGGTCCCAGGGGAGTGGGACCCCCCTGAAGGAATCTCCTCCTTTCCTCCTCACAGCTTCCTCCGCGGGGGGTCCTTCATTTACCCCACCTCACAGGTGGAAAGACCAAGGCTCTGAGCCACGAGGTTGCGTCCCACAGCCCACAGCCAGCAAGCGGTGGAAGTAGGATTTGTTTTCATGTAGAGGTGTATTTATTGACATGGAAAAATGTTTACAATATATTATTAAATGAAAAAGCAGCACATAGGGCAACAGAGTATAATTTGAAAGAGCATCGTTAAAAGGTTAACAGTGGTTGTATCTAGGTGAGAGGATTATGGACCTTACCATTTTTTTTTTCTTTTTTCTTCTGCTTATGTGTATTTCCTAATTTTTTATAGCAGCTTTATGGAGTTATAATTCACACAGCATACAATTCACACATTTAGTGTCCAATTCAATGGCTTTTTAGTTTATGCAGAGTTGTGCAACCATCACCACGTTTCTCTTTTTTAAATATTTATTTATTATTTGGCTGCACTGGGTCTTAGTCGGGGCACTCTTGGTCTCAGCTGCAGTACACGGGATCTTTAGCTGCGGCACGTGAACTCTTGGTTGCAGTATGTGGGATTTAGTTCCCTGACCAGGGTTTGAACCCAAGCCCCATGTATTGAGTGTAGAGTCTTAGCCACTGGACCACCAGGGAAGTCCCAACACTATTTTCAAATATTAGCATCATCCCTCTCCTCAAAACCCCTACGCATTAGCAGTCACTCCCCACTTCCCAAAACCCCCTATAGATTTGCTCATTCTAGACAACTCATACAAAAGGATTAAAGCATGTGGTCTTCATGACTGGTTTCTTTCACTCAGTATAATGTCTTGAAGTTGCACCCATGTTGTAGTGTGTATCAGTAAGTCATTTGTTCTTATGGCCAAATAATATTCCATATTATATTTATTAATTCATTAGTGCAAAAGCATTTGGATTATTTCTACCTTTTGGCTATTGTGAATAATGCTGCTATTAACATTTGTGTCATTTTTGGGGGTGGACAGGTGTTTTTAATTCTCTTGGGTAGATACCTCGAGTTCAATTGCTGCGTCATAGGTAACTCCAAGTTCAAGCTTTTGAAGAACTTTCAGACTGTTCTCCAATAAGACTGCACCGTTTTACATCCCCACCAGATAAGGGCACGGTTTCACTACAGCCTTGCCAACATATGTTGTTATCTATCTTTCTGATTCTAGCCATCTAGTGGGTGTGAGGTGGTATCTCATGAGTTTTGTATTTGCATGTCTCTGATGTTCAAGCTGGATTTAGAAAAGGCAGAGGAACCAGAGATCAAATTGCCAACATCCGTTTGATCATAGAAAAAGCAAGAGAGTTCCAGAAAAATGTCTACTTCTGCTTTATTGACTATGCCAAAGCCTTTGACTGTGTGGAACACAACAAATTGTGGAAAATTCTTCAAGAAGTAGGAATACCAGACCACCTTACCTGCCTCCTGAGAAATTTGTATGCAGGTCAAGAAGTAACAGTTAAAACTGGACATGGAACAATGGACTGGTTCCAAATTGGGAAAGGAGTATGTCAAGGCTGCATATTGCAACCCTGTTTATTTAACTTACAAGCAGAGTACATCATGCGAAATGGCAGGCTGTATGAAGCACAAGCTGGAATCAAGATTGCTGAGAGAAATATCAATAACCTCATATATGCAGATGACATCACCCTTATGGCAGAAAGCAAAGAAGAACTAAAGAGCCTCTTAATGAAAGTGAAAGAGGAAAGTGAAAAAGTTGGCTTAAAACTCAACATTCAAAAAACGAAGATCATGGCATCTGGTCCCATCACTTCATGGCAAATAAATGGGGAAACAATGGAAACAGTGAGAGACTTTATTTTCTTGGGCTCCAAAATCATTGCAGATGGTGGCTGCAGCCATGAAATTAAAGATGCTTGCTCCTTGGAAGAAAAGTTATGACCAACCTAGACAGCACATTAAAAAGCAGAGACATTACTTTGCCAACAAAGGTCCGTCTAGTCAAAGCTATGGTTTTCCAGTAGTCATGTATGGATTTGAGAACTGCGCCATCAGGAAGGCTGTTCACCAAAGAATTGATGCTTTTGAACTATAGTGTTGGAGAAGACTCTTGAGAGTCCTTTGGAGATCAAACCAGTCTATCCTAAAGGAGATCAGTCCTGAATATTCATTTGAAGAACTGATGCTGAAGCTGAAGCTCCAATACTTTGTCCACCTGATGCGAAGAACTGACTCATTGGAAAAGACCCTGATGCTGGGAAAGATTGAAGGCAGAAGGAGAAGGGGATGACAGTGGATGAGATGATTGGATGGCTTCACTGACTTGATGGACATGAATTTGAGCAAGCTCCGGGAGATGGTGAAGGACAGGGAAGCCTGGCGTGCTGCAGTCCATGGGGTTGCAAAGAGTTGGATGCAGCTGAACTGAACTGGTGGTTCATGGTGTTGAGTGTCTTTCATGTATTTGTGGCTCTTTATATGTCTTCCCTGAAGAAAGACATAGAGTAGAGACTCGGATTCCTGTCTCATTTGAAAAATTAGGTTATTTGTATCTTTATTATTAAGATATTGGAAGTAGGATCTGGAGCCAGGTCCTGCTGTACCAGGACTTCCCAGGTGGCACTAGTGATAAAGAACTGGTCTGCCAACACAGGAGATGAAAGAGACATGGGTTCGATCTCTGGGTCGGGAAGATCCCCTGGAGGAGGACATGGCAACCTGTTCCAATAATCTTGCCTGGAGAATCCCGTGGACAGAGCAGCCTGGCAGTCTACAGCCCATGGGGTCACAAAGAGCTGGACACGACTGAAGCGACTGAGCATTCACACCACTGGACCAATAGATCCTGCACTTTCAGGCATGCACCTCTGCCTCCAGGAACTCTGGACGCACCCTGGAGTCTTGCCCACCCTTGGGACAGGTGAAGGCCAGCACAGCCACCCAGCCTGGAGGGGGCCCGGCGCATAGCAGGTGCCCAGGTCCACGGGTGGACAGACAGAAGAACAACTCCATCTCCAGGAACTGGTGAGCTGAAGGGAGAGAAAAAACAGGACAAAAAGTCTGCACCCCAGAAAGAAGACATTCCCGAGGCCTTGCTCCAGGAGGCGGAGGTAAAGCCCTGAGCGCCTAGCGGCCACCATGATAACCCCTCATGTCTTCGGTAATGATGACCTCTGCCAATTTTCACGCTACTGACTGTTGGCCCACGTGAGACTGGGAAGGGGAGGCCCAGGAGATTAGCAGGGAACCCTAGGTGATATCTGTCCAGAAGCAGGCTGTAGTGGGTGTGCAGGGGCGGCAGCTAGACAGGGAAGAGCAGAGCCTGAGGCGCATGACCCCACAGCAGTGCCTCTGCCCTGGCCACAAGGACTCACTGCTTTGTCACCAAGGACGCCTGTATCTTGAACGCCCAGCTCTGGAGTCCAGCTGCCTGAGTTCGAGCATCGGTCCCACCACCTCTTTGCTGTGTGACTGGGCGTGTTAGTTTCCCTCTCTGAGCCTTGGATCCCCTCTGAGGCTCTCCTGTGGAATGAAGCTCATCAGGGTGAGGATGAAATGAGGGTGTCAAGGGGCCTTAACTCGGCCTCTGGTGGAGCCAGGCTGTGGATGGCACAGCTCACCCGTGGGGTGTCCCCACCCCCGGCACTCAGAGCCAGAAGACTGTCACCCTGGGAAACAGCAGCCACAGACTCTCCTGAGAACTTTAGAGACCAGCCACTTGCAGGAAGCTTCTCCCTCAGACAGGAGCTTAATGCATGGCTGCAAGGGCCGGGCAGCTTTTGGGGCCCTGTGGACGCCAGAAGGTGGACCATGCAGTGGTTGTGAGAGCAGCCCCTCTCTCAGGCAGCCTGGCTTCAGATCCCAGCACCGCCACTTACCAGCTGAGAACCTGGACCGGGACTTGTCTCTCTGTGCCTTGGTTTACCCTTGAGAAAGTCAGTGAAGATGACAACAGTCTTTACCTTCTAGGATGGTGTGAAGATTAAATGTGTTAATAGGGAAAATAGGGATAAAGTCTTCCCAGGTGGCTCAGTGATGAAGAATCTGCCAATGCATGGGATGCAGTTCAATCCCTGGGTTGGGAAGATCCCCTGGGGAAGGAAATAGCAACCCACTGCAGTATTCTTGCTGGGAAAATCCCATGGACGGAAGAGCCTGGAGGCCTGCAGTCCATGGGGTCGCAAAGAGTTGTACACAACTGAGCAACTGGGCATATACACACAGGGATAAAGTCTTAGTTTTAAAATAAAGGCGAGAGTGGGTCTTCCCTGGTAGTTCAGCGGTTGAGAATCTGGCTTCCAACGCAGGGTACATAGGTCTGATCTCTGGTCAGGGAATGAAGACCCTACATGCTGCTGGGCATCTAATAAGCTCACAGGCCACGGCTAGAGCAAGTCCACATGCCCCAAAGAAAAGCCCATGTGCTACAGCAAAGACCCAGCATGGCCAAATAAAATAAATAAATAAGCACATAAATTAAGGCGAGAGCATCTTCCGAATTTTTTTCTCTGGACCCCACACTCCTCAAGATTCTTCCAGAGTCCTAAGATTCCTCCAGCTCTGATATGTGGAGTGGTGCAAAGTTCTTTACTATGTTGAAAGTGAAAGTGGCTCAGTCTTGTCCAACTCTTTTCGACCCCATGGCCTATCCAGTCCATGGAATTCTCCAGGCCAGAATACTGGAGTGGGTAGCCTTTCCCTTCTCCAGGGGATCTTCCCAACCCAGGGATGGAACCCAGGTCTGTCTCCTGCATTGCAGGCGGATTCTTTACCAGCTGAGCCACAGGAGAAGCCCCTTTACTATGCTGTTACCTCCCAAAGTGGGTTTCAGAGCCCACTAAGCTCGCGAGATGGTCCCGGACAATTGGAAAGGACCCCGTCATCAGAGAGGCCTGGCTGCTGTGTAGACAGAACTGCTGCCTCTAGAACTTCACCAGGGCACATGAAAGGCTCTGAGAAACCCCGCAGAGAAGAAACCATGTCGGATGGTTAAGTCAGTGTTTTCCCGAATTTATTAGACCATAAACACCCTTTTCTGTCCAATACCAATTTAACATCTTCCTGGAAAAACACTGATGGTCAAGGTCATTTCTAGCGTGTAGTTTCTGCCTTGCAGAAGAGACAGAAGGTTTTCTAAAGAATTTTCATCCCTGCATTGGAGAAGCCCCTGCCAGTTTTTCTAGCACTTTGACACTCGCCCACAGAAAAGCGCTGCATGCCTGCAATACACCCTCAGCCCTGCTCCCTGGGGCAGAGAGGACCAGGTGGCGAAGGGCCCCTCATGGAAGTCCCCAGGACTGGCCCAGCTCCCTTCCACCCCCTGCAGCCGCCTCCGGCTCCAGACCAGACGGCACGCCCAGAACACTGTCAGGACAGTAGGCGGTGTCTTCTGGGAGCCTTCTAGAGAAGCAGTTGCCAAAAAGGAGCTGCTGTGGGTTGAGCCAGCCCAGCCTCAGGCAGGGGAGATGCCTTAGGAGGCCCTGGGGCTGCCAGGCTCTATCAGGAGGGACAGCACCACTTCCTGATACAGTCGTCTCCCCCGTCTCCCTCTAAGTGTTTCAGCAGTTCTAATATTTGGCGACCAGAGTACATTTCCCCACCAGCCGCGTGAACACAGGACAAGTGCCAAAATTCATCTCCAGGCCTTTGGGGTTTGGAAAAATGAGCTGAATCAGTGAGTCAGTGGAGGAGAGTTCCATTTATTGAGCACCTACATTCTGGGTGCTTTGTGTAAGAAGCTCTGCCATTATGATGAGATCTCAATTCTGATAACAACCCCATTTTACAGACAGGGAAACTGAGGCTCATGGTGGGGAGTTAACACGACCAGGGACAAAGCAGAGCTGGGATTCAAACCCAACCTGATTTCGACTCCCTAATTTCCCACATGCCCACCCCCACCCCGCACCCCATCATGCTGTTTCTGGGCAGCCTGGCTGAGCCCATTGACAGCTGCTACATACTGTGTTTCTGACCTCATCCCCTAGGCCCCACTCATTATTAACCCAGGCTCCCCAGGCTGGGGTATGAGGATGGGAATCAGAGGGAGAAAAACAGTCCCCTAATGCTCTGGCCCATGAAGAAACTGGCATTTGGGTTTGTTAACCCCTGTCCTGGGCTTCCCTGGTGGCTCAGATGGTAAAGAACCTGCCTGCAATACAGGAGATCCGGGTTTGATTCCTGGGTCTGGAAGATGCCCTGGGGAAGGAAATGGCAACTCACTCCAGTATTCTTGCCTGGAAAATCCCATGGACAGAGTAGCCTGGCGGACTACAGTCCATGGGGTAGCAAAGAGTTGGACATGACTGAGAGATTAACATTTCACTTCACAGCCCACGTCCTGGAGAACTGGCTGTCTGGGCCCCAGTCCCCTGATCATCGTTGGTGTGTGGACTGGGAGACGCAGAAAAAAAAAATCAGTTTTCTGAGTCTGCTAAGCTGAAGGCCAGCCCACCAGCCTGAGGTAACCCTGCCAACCTGAGGACCACCCCCTTGGGAACCCAGCCAGAGCTGGCACCAGGGCTGGGCCCCTTTTCTCTTTGCCTTTCCTGTGGCTCTTGGCTGCAGCCTCCTTTCCTGCCTCCTGCCTCCTCCCTCGCCCACCTCTCAGGGTCCTGGCACACAGCCTAGGGAGTTAGGCCCTCTGCACAGACCGGGAAACCCCTCCCCTCCCTGACTCCCCAGAATTCCTTCAGCAGTGGGGCTGTGGGCTGGGGAGAGGGTGGATGCCCCCACCTATCCGTCTCCAGGAGGGCCCTCACCTGCTCTGCACAGCTGCAGGGAAGGGACAGCCCACCTGGAGTTCCCAGCCCCCCTCACCTGGCCACACCTTTCCACCTGCCCTTTACAGGAAGTGCCCATCGGACACTGGGAGAGCAACCTCCCAAGTGAGACTATGTGCCAGAAGCTTCTCCTTCACCTGAACTCATCCTCAAGCCATCTGATAGCAGCTTCCTTATCTCCGTCCTGAGTGGGGAGCCAGTTCACGGAGAAGGCCGGGACTTGTGCCAGGCCACGCTACCAGGCAGTGCCAGGCATCTCCCCGAGGGGCGGCTGACTCTGGAGTTTGGGGTCCCTTCTCCTACTACCATGCAGGGCTCAGGGATGCAGGTTCGGGATCAAGACTGCTGGGCTAGAGTTCTGGCTCCTCCACCTCCTTGCTGGGTCACCTGGGGCTGGTTACTCAACCTCTCTGTGCCTCAGATTCTTCATCAATGCTGTCAGAGAGTCCCTGAGTCCAAAGCCTGAGTGAGCTGTGTGGGTGAGTGACTTCACCTGTCTGTGCCTCAGTTTACTCCAATTTAAAACAGAGTGATTGATACACACACACCAGTGGTTGGTATAAAGATTACGTGTGACAATTGTACATCTACCTACGGCTTTCTGGCAGGTGGTGCCTGGCAGACCCGTGGGGCCTGCTGATTATTGTTTGTTAGGGTTGCGGTCAAGGTGTTGCTCTGCAAAGAAGCACAAGAAACAGATCTCAGAGGGCATCTCTGGGCAGGGAAAGTGGGCGGAGGGAACCTTAACTTTCTCTATACATTGTTTTGTGCCTTTAGAATTTTGTATTATTGGATTGGCCAAAAACTTTGCCCCAGTTTTTCTGTAAAATGGTACAGACAATCGGAACAAAATTTTTGGCCAAGCCAGTACAACTGGGGAGTATTACTATTTCCAAAGTTGATTACAAAGCTATGGTACAAAGATGCTCCCTGCCCTGACACATAGCCTGTGCAGGCCAGAGACCCCACCCTCAGGTGCGTCCTTCCTGCTTGGCACGCCCCTCCTTAGCCACACCCGGGCCTCTTCCAGGCCCTGCCTTTTAGCCCACTCCTGTCTCCCAGCAAGTCCCCAGCACAGCCTCAAGGGCCATAAGGTCTCTCCTTCCAAGCACAGGCCTGTCCCTTTTGCCATGGGATGTGGGCCGAGCCTCTGTTCTCCACCATCTCGCCTGTAAGCGAGATGCTGCTATCTCCTGGGGTAACTCTAAGAACTAAAGCGTGAAAGTGAAAGTGTTAGTCACTCAGACGTGTCTGACTCTGTGACCCCATGACTGTAGCCCTCCAGGCTCCTCTGTCCGTGGGATTCTCCAGGCAATGATACTGGAGTGGGTTGCCATGCCCACCTCCAGGGGATCTTCCTGACCCAAGGATTGAACCTGGGTCTCCTGCAGTGCAGGCAGATTCTTCACCATCTGAGCCACCAGAAAAGCCTAAATAATTATCACAGTGTGTGTTAATCGCTTAGTCGTGTCGGACTCTTTGTGACCCCATGACTGTAGCCTGCCAGGCTCCTCTGTCCATGGGATTCTCCAGCCAAGAATACTGGAGTGCCATTGCAATGCCCTCCTCCAGGGGATCTTCCTGACGCAGGGATCGAACCCCTGTCTCCTTCACTGCAGGCAGATTCTTTACTGTCTGAGACACCAGGGAAGATCTAATGAGGTGCTAATTCGTGGAAAGGGTCAGATACAGTTCCCAGCCCAGAATCGCACTCTTCCCTCTTGTCCTCTGAAAGGGAAAAATGATGTTGAAGGAAAGCCGCCAAGCTCGAGCTCATCTCTAGCCACCAAGCCCCCTCCCACCCTGCAGGCGGACCTCAAGCCTCCCAGGCCAATTCCTGCCTCCAGGCCTTTGCACCTGCTCTTCCCTCCTGGCAGCCCTCCCCTGATCTTCTCATCATGCTATTACTCCCAACTGCTGGCCTCCTCTGAGAGAAGCACCATGTCGGAAATGGCCCCCACCCCCTCCTCTGTCTCTTGCCCCTGTTTATTTTCTTCATGGTACTTACCATTGCCCCAGAATGTTTTGTTTTGTTTTGTTTTTAATTTTGGCTATGCTGGGTCTTCATGGCTGCTTGGGCTTTTCTCTAGTTGCTGCAAGAGGAAGCTACTCTCTAGTTGCAGTGCACAGGCTTCTCATTGCAGTGACTTCTCTTGTTAGGGAGCTAGGGCTCTTGGGGGTGTGGGCTTCAGTAGTTGAAGTACACAGGCTCAGTAGCTGCAGCCCCTGGGCTCTAGAACACAGGCTCAACAGCTGTGGCGTACGGGCTTAGTTGCTCCGTGGCATGTGGAATCTTCCCGGATCAGGGATCGAACCCATGTCTCCTGCATTGGCAGGTGGATTCTTTACCACCGAGCCACCGGGGAAGCCCCCAAATTGTATTTTTGAATAAGCTCTTTTTAGGGATTAGTTTTAAATTCACGTAAAAGTTGCAAAGACATACAGAGGGTTCCTGTGTCTCCTTCACCCCGTTTTCCTAATGTCAGCTCATTACCTAATGGTGGTACCTCTGTCAAAACAAAGAAATTAACACCAGTGTGTTACCATTAACTAAACCACAGATTTAATTCAGATGAAATTATACTTTCCCTTTATTGACTGCTCGTTTTCAGCTGCCTCCCCCACTGGAAGGAAAAACGAAAGCAAGGGGATTGCCTCGCTCACTCTCCGCCAATACCCTCACCATGGTGCTAAGTCGCTCAGTCATGTCTAACTCTGCGACCCATGGTCTGTAGCCCGCTAGGCTCCTCTGTCCATAGGATTTCCCAGGCAAGAATACTGGAGTGGTTTGCCATTTCCTCACCTGGCAATTAATACTGATTGATAAAAGGAAGGGAAATAATGGTAAAAAAAAAAAACAAAAAACAGCCACAATGCCTGAGAACTTGCTCTTGTTCCAAGTGCACTAAACATTGTAAATCCCTTCATCCCATGACAACCCAAGAGGTAGTGGTTACTTGTGGGGAAACTGA